TTAACAGTCCATTGGTCATGTTACTCCCATAATACACAATTGTCAATATACATGTACAGGCGAACATACATGTAGTGGCGTTGCAGCAGCTTTTCCACGCCTGGTGTTGTAAACTCAATATCATCAGCTGCAGAGTAATAGCCTTTCATAGGGCAGCGGCGTTTAAACGGATCCCTGGTAAACGTTATCTTGGGTGAGAAGACTGACTCAAACTGTGAGTTGAGAATATTCGCCTTATCAGCACTTCCAGTAAACAGATGGCCCTGATCCTTCAGTGGAGATATGTTGTTTCCATCTGTCTTCTTGTGTTTTATGTAGGACCAGAATCTTTTCTTGCAGTTGTGGATACCATACATAGAATTTGGACGGAATTTACAGGAAACAGTCGGCAATAATACTAGGTGAAAGAGAGTATAGAAATATTAAGAATTTGGTAGTAAATAGATTTCGTATTTATTTAGCATTACATTTTATTGAAACGCTTCAAGTGCCTGTGGATTCACCCAGCGACCTTGTTTTGACGATTTCTCACGATTTCACGGCTCGTGTATTTCACGTGATTTCAGTTACCATTCATGTCCTGCGGCCGTCACATTTCTCCTCGACTTTGCCCGGGCTACTTACGCAGTGATATAACTTCGTCTCCGCTGTCAATAACCTGAACCAACGTTGCCCTTGGGCATTTTCCGCAAACGCACTATGAGTATGAACATGCCGAATTTCACGTCAACATTCGGCCATTGCACTGATCGCTTAGTACTGCCATCTAGCGTCGATGGCGACTATTTCGCACCCACACCTTCTGTATTCGGCACTCGTTCGGCTTTCCTAAACAAACATAACAACATAACAATAACATCTGCATACAACGGTGAAATGGTGAAACCATGTTGCAGTATTACTTCTACTTCTTCTACTTACTTCTATACTGGACAGTCCGTAAGGAATAAACGTCCAGGGAGTGCGCGAAAACTGGGTGCACATGAGAGATTTGCATGAAACAGTAGGCAGTAATGCTCATACGGACTCGGGACTATTTGACCTATAGCAGAATCGGCCCATAACAGACTCGGCCGATACGGACTCGGCCCATAAAAATATAATTACGTTGAATCCAAACCTTCTGGATATATTTAAATTATTGCCATATAGAGATATGTGTTTTCCTAGTATGTTTTTATAACAAGTGAACACTGTTCTTGAAATGGAAACAAAGATGGAAGCTGTTGGATGTGTATTCGTGCTGTGAAGGCGTGAAATCAAGCGAGCGTCGAGCGAATTTAGGGATCCCGCTTTCCTACCTGCTATATATATAAGTGTAAGTGTGCACAGTGCAGCCGCGAGAGCAATGGCCGCCGGCAGCGTATGTTGTACATACTTCTACTTCTACTCTATATTGGCCACCATCAACATACTGATGATTCTGCCAACGAGAGGCGCTAGTTAATACTAAAATAAAATTTTCCTTCCCTTTGATTTTCTAAAGAAAAAACAACAAATAACAAATTTTACTTAAAAAACTGCCCTGATGTCGTTTAGGCAGTAATCAGAGGGAACATAGATTCTCGGCTGTCATCACTTCAGTGGGTAAGGCGTTCCACTCTGTAATAATAGACCTGGGAAAGAAGGAGCCTTTCCTGTAGTCACATCTGCAGGATGGGATTTGAAAAGAGTGCTCCGACATGTTCCTGGTGCTTCGAGTAGGTGGTATCAGACGGTTGTTGGTATCCAAGTTGACCATGCCGTTGACGAGCTTGTACATCATAGCCAAACGGGCAACCCTTCGTCTTGACTCCAGCGTCGGCCAGTTGAGTGTTTCAACCATGTCAGTAACACTAGACCTGTTGTGGTGGCAGTTTGAGACGTATCTCGCTGCTCGTCTTTGGACCATTTCAAGATGTTGGCAGTCCTGCGCCTGATATGGATCCAATACTGTGCTGGCGTACTCCACCGTGAACCAAACCAATGAGGTATAGGCAAGTGACTTAATTTCCATTGAGGAAATATTTAGGTTCCTTCTCAGGAATGATAGGGTTCTATTTGCTTTACTACAGATTGAGCTGATGTGGTTGTGCCATCGAAGGTCTGATGTTAGTGTGACACCCAGGTACTTGGCTGATGTGGCCACGTCTAAGGTATGTCCGCGTAGAGCATATGGGTAACAGGTTGGTTGGAACGACCTATCTGGACCTATCTGGACGACTATACATGACAAGCAATCTAAGACGAGATCTTTCTGCTAAGCACGCGCGCAATATAATGTCTTACAACTC